AGGAAGGAAGGAAGGAAGGAAGGAAGGAAGGAAGGAAATCAGTCTACCTTTCTCCTATAAGTGAACTTGAAAAAAACTCTACAGTTTTACTATCATTCATGTCATGCCACTTGGGCTAAAAACAGAAACTGACACCCTTCCCCAGTGAATTATAATAAACAAAAGGACCCCCAAAAAGAAAAAGGCTAAAGCTCAACTTTTTACCACCACTCCATTTGTTAAAAAGAAGGCAAAGTCCTGTGTTTCATCGGTCCAGGAGCCCAGGATAAAATGGTTAGGGAGAGCAGGAATCAGCGACCTGGGTGAGGGCGCATTCCTGCCACAGTGCACTGTAGCTAACCAGGATGGAGGGCTTTGCCTACAATGAAAGGAAGCACAGCAGGTGACCCAGACAGTACTGCTTGAGCTGGCACGAATCAGAAAATGCTACTACTTTTCATGCATAGTAGGAAAAGATGGGTAGAGTTTGTTCTCCCAGTGGGCTGGGGCAGATAGAGAGTGGCAAGGATCATTCTCTCTTCCCCTCAAGGAAAGGTTAATAGCCCATTCTTACACTAAGGCGACTTGGCATGTAAATCAGCCCTAGAGACAGAGAGAGAAGTAAAGCAATAAGAAAAATCAAAGTGATAACTTTAAAAATAAAATTTGTATTCTTCATTGGGCAATAGTCAAATCATGAACTCCCATTTACAGATTAGGAGATTAATCATAATTTTTATTACCTCATGAAATATAAAGATCTTAAATGGTACCCGTTTTTTAAAAGGATGATCAAGGGTGAGGGAAAAAAGAGAAAATTGGAAAAACCACAGCTGCAAAAGAAACTGCAATTTGTAATCCTTCTCTGTAGCCACAGATGTAACAAGCAAATGCTTAATTAGGAACTAGAATTTTTTTTTTCCAAAAAAGAAGTTAACAGCCTAAATATAAACAAGCATAAGAGCAGAACATGGAAGATCTTTAATCCTCCTCCAAAAGAGCTTCAGCAAGTACTTAAAGAAGTAAGACATGTTTCAGCTTCCACGTGATTATGAATGGTTCTTTGAGTGTTGTTTGATAATTTCAAAAATATAGCTGGAAACCTGAGGAAACATGGAAGATTCTTCTCTTGAATAATATTCTCCCTCTGTTGAACAGTTTATATACTTCCTTCATTTCCCTGCTAGCAACAGCTTATGCAGTAGTGTCTTCTAGAGTCATCCAACCATCAAAATGCGAAAACAACCACCATTTGTTTTATATCACTTCAGTGATCGAGGCTATGAAGATGCTATAGATTAGTAGTGGGGAAACTATCTTACTTTAGTTTATTGCTGCAATCAAAAGACCACCATACAGAATACTGGGGAAGGGGGGGGGAACAGAACAGAAAAATATATAACCCTAAACAAAAGGTGTCACAGATTGCCAAAATTTGGGCACTTTAAATCTTGCTAACCTGCAAGTGATGTGAGAGACAAATAATGGCATCCGGTTTTGTTATAACACTAGAGGTTGCCAACCGACAGGACTTAAGAAGTGAAGTCAGACTCCCTGCCTGAAAAACACATCTTAAGAAGGGCATAATTAACATCTCACAAGTATCTTGATAAAATAGGCAAAAACATGATTCAGTTTCCACTTCACTGGCAAAGATGCTCAATCTTCTGCCATGGGCGCTAAAAGAAGGGCATTCAACTGAGCAGGCATAAAAGCCACATGAGGTTTTAGCACTTTGAAATCAGAAAGGTAGATGGTGGAGCTGTTATTAGCCAACCTTTCATACAGATAGCCAGAGGCTGAATTCCTGTCTCTTTGTGTAGCTGACTCCAGATACGTTGTCTGAATGTCCTTTTGGCATTTTCAAAATCAATGTGGTAACAAATCCTGAAGAAAAAATAGAGAGATGGAGATTCTCCTCTGGGGTACTCTTCAGTGTTGACTGAAAATTGTCTTCTAGAATTAAAAAGCCAAGCTGGTTAGTACACATTTTAGCCAAAGCTTGAAAAAGAACCAAATTCTGTTTCCTCCAGAATGAATCCCATCTCCAAGTCTAATACCAATTTGCAATTGCAAGAACTGGATGAAGGAATTTACACTGAACCACCTCCAGCTACCAGTGTTCTCTACAGGAGCATGAATGAAAGCCTGATCAATAAATTATTTAACAAACGAATGTAAAAAACGGAAATGTGAGGGTGCTAAAATGCTTGACTGCTCCACTCCTTTCTGTGTGGGGATTGTTTTGACAGATGCCCATAAAGTTTGAGTATGACTCTTAGGTATATTAATCCAGCCAAACTATCTTTACAGATTATACAGATTTAAAACCTACGAATATCACAAGAAGAGTCACACATCAGGGAGAATATTTTTCAGCAACATAGTGCTGAACTGGAGGAAGAAGCATCAATAACCTGCATTACATTGATGGCACTTCTCCGAGATGATTTACAAGCCCTAATAAAGTCAAAGAGCAAAGTGAAAAAGTAGGAGGATTAAATGTAAAGATTAAACTAATGACAACAGGTGCAACAAACAAGTTATAAAGATACTGATTAATAGCTTTTACTTGTTAGAACTGACATCAACAGCAAAGAATCCAGCAAATATGCTGCAGGCTAACATCTGGTAGAGCTGCCATGAAGGAAAGTATGTTCAAACGCCATGATGTGTCTATACCAGCAAAGATTAGAATTGTTCAGGCAGTGTTTTTTCTTGTGACACTAGCTGGGCTTTCAAGCAGCAGGACAGAAAGAGTATTGATGTATCTGCATTTTGGTGCTAGAAAATACTTTTAAGGGAGCCATGGAACTCATAACAGATCAAATCAGAACTGCGACTTGAAGCACTAATGATCAGGCTCTGGCTGTTATATTTTGAAAAGTTGAAGGAACAGGAAGAGAGTGGCAAGTGGCAAGTGGCAAGGTGGATGGATTTGATTACAACAGCAGTGAATGCACCACTGAGAGCATTTTTGACTCATTTGTTTAATTGGGCTCTCTTTATCTAGTTTTAGGACTTGTGGTGAACAGATCATGTTTAAGTCATATTTATGCAGAAATACTGAAAATTCAAAAGGATTCACAAACTCTCAAGTACCAGTGCAAATGGCTAAGTTGAAAATGATTATTCTGGAGAGAATCTATTGATGTGGTTTCTAAGAGTCAGTACTGACTTGATGGCATTTAATTTATCACAGTGCAGAATTAACTCCTGAACTGCTCAAAAGCCTGCTTGCTCCTCCACGGAAATGTTTTCACAATCAAGTAATTTCCAGTAAAGATGCTGGGCATAAAGCTTACTTGTTGCACTTAGCAGACTCACTCGTCTGTAATTTTCTGGATCAGCTTTCCTTTCCTTTTGGTAAAATGAAGTAATCACTGCATAGCATAAATCTTTGAGAGTATTTACTCTGCAATTTTAAAAAAGCCTTGCAATCAAAACAGCCACAAGATGGATATGGGGAAAGCTGTGCTGAAGGGTTAAAAAAGAAAGAAAGGCGGGGGAGGGGGGAGAGAGGAACAAAAGTGGGTGGGGAGAAAGCAACAAGGCCAGGAAGGAAACAAAAGAGAGAAGCTCTGCTTAGACATTACAAAAAAGGTTAAATTCAGCCTGTAAGCAGCCTTCTTCCCAAACAGTGGCTAATCCTCCATGTTATTTACAGCTACAGCAGCAATGGGAAGGTACAGAACAACATAGTGACTTTTGTTAATCTTAAAAAAAAAAAAAGCAGCAAACTAACTTTTATTATAGAACTTC